AGATAACAAAAGATAAGAAGATCAATAAAAAAAGGAAAAAGATAAGGCAAGATTGGGAAAAGGGTAAAGAAAAGCAAAAAGGAAAAACAAGAAAACATAAGAAAGGAAAAAGGAAAAAGATAAGAAAAGACCAGAAATAGGAAAAGATAAGGAAAAATAAGAAAAAAGATAAGGTAAGGTAAGGTAAGGTAAAGTAAGATAAGATAAGATAAGATAAGATAAGATAAAATAAGATAAGATAAGATAAGATAAGAAAACAAAAAAGAACAAAAGATAAAAAATATGAGAAAAAATATGTGAAAAGATAAGAAAAAGATGAAAACAGAAGAAAAAAGGTAAGAAAAGATAAGAATAATATAAAGAAAAGATAAGGAAAAAGATAAAAATAAGAAAAAGATAAAAAAGTATGAAGATTAAAATGATAAGATTAAAAAAATAAAAATAAGATAAGAATATAAAAATAAGATAATAAAAAATAAGAATTAGATAAGAAAAGATAAGAAAAAATAATGAAATAAGAAAATAAAGGAATTAAAAAAATAAGGAAAGATGAGAAAAAGATAAGAGAAAATTAAAAAGAAGGAAAAGTAATAAAATTGTTAAGAAAAGATAAGAAAAAGATAAGAACAGAACAGAACAGAAATACTTTATTTGGCCAAGTGTGATTAGGCACACAAGGCATTTGTCTCTTTGCAGAAGCTCCCAGTGTTCAGTACATGCAAAACAACAGAGTAATAATATCATAATAATGATGCCAATAAGAAGAGGTAGTAGAGAAGATGTAGGATAATAATACTATAGCCATATTACATGGGTAAATGTACTTAGACATAAGAGAGTACTGTGGAAATTAGATGGTCAGCAGATTGATGGCATGAGGGAAAAATCTGTCTCTGTCTTTAGATGTGTTGGCATGCAATTCCCTGTAGCAGCATCCCCTGGGAACGAATCAAAACAGTTTATATGTGAGGAACCTGTGGATATTTTGTCAGCCCTTCTTCTGACATATGCAATGTACTGGTCCTCTATGGAAGGCAGGCTGGTTTCAATTGTTTTTTCTGCAGTCCTAAATATCCATTGAAGTTTGTACCTGTCCTGTTTGATTGCAGTACCAAACCAGACAGTTATAGAAGTACAAATGCAGATTTAATGATTCCTCTATAGAACTATATCAACAGTTCCTGGGGCAGTCTGAACTTTCTGAGTTGATGCAGGAAGAACATTCTGTGTTGTGCCTTTTTAATGATGGTTCTAATGTTAGGTGTCCATTTCAAATCCTGGGAGATTATAGAACTCAAAAACCTGAAGGATTCTACTGCTGATATTGTGTTGTCTAACATAGTAAAAGGTGGTAAAATAGAACATAGAATGCAGAATAATAAGGGACCTTGGAAGTCTTCTAGTCTGCTTGAGTAGGGGATCCTATACCAGACATGTCAAACTCATGATGTCACATGATGTATCAGAACCTTTCCCCCATTGCTGGCAATGGGGTGGGCACGGTTTCCTGGTGACATGTCTGGCCCACGGGCTGGCAGTTTGACACCCCTGCCCTATACCATTTCAGACAAATGGTTGTCCAGTCTCTTTTTGAAAGCCTCCAGTAATAGAAGCCCACAACCTTTGTTCTAGGTTGTTTATGTCCTTGGTTAGTTTCCATCCCTTGTTTCTTGTCTTGCCTTTTGGTGCTTTGGAAAATATTTGACACCCTTGTCTTTGTAGGAGCCCCTCAAATATTGAAACACTGCTATCATGTCTCCCGAGTCCTTCTTTTCATTAGGCTAGACATTTCCAATTCCTGCAATTATTCTTCATGTGTTTTAGTCTCCAACTCCCTGATTATTCTTGTTGCTCTTTTCTGCACATTTTCCAGAGTCTCATTATATTTTTTATTTTGTGGTAACCAGAACTGGATGCAGTATTCCAAGTGTGATCTTACCATGGCTTTGTAAAGCAGTACTAGAATTTCACATGATCTTGATTCTATTTTTCCATTAATGCATCCTAAGATTGCATTGGCTTTTGGGGCTTTTGCAATACACTATTGGCTCATATTTAAGTGATTCCGGGACTCCAGGATCTAAATCCACTCTTATCTACAGTTTTAAGTATGTTCAGCTCCAGATTGTTCTGGCTGCACCACAGGGCCACTTGTACAACTCCCGCCTATATGCAAACTCATCAACATCTTGAATGCACCAATGATTGTTGTACTTTAACAGAGGGATCTTTCAAGATTCAGTCATTAGTACATAGAGAATAATGGAGAGTTCACACAGCCGTGGGGGTGCCAGTGCTAATTGTTTGGGTATTCGATGTGATTTTATTTAGCTTGACCCGCTTTTTCCTATCTCTCAGAAAACTTATATAAGTGAAAGATAAGAAAAAAAATAATGAAATTATAAAGAAATGATAAGAAAAGGATTTAAAAAGATAAGAAAAGGTAACTAAATAGCTATGAAAAGATAAGAAAAAGAAAATATAAGATGAGGAAAAGATAAGATAAAAAGATATGGAAAGATGAGAAAATAGATAAGAAGATAAGAAGTTTAGAAAAGAAAAGAAATGAAATGATAAGGGAAAAGATAAGAAAAAAGATAAGAAAGATAAGAAAAATAGAAGAAAAGAAAGAAAATAAGGAAAAGATTAAAAAATGGAAACATAAGAAAATTATAAGATAAAGAATAAGATACGAAAGATAAGAAAAAAGGAAAAATAATGAAAGATAATGAAAATAAAAAGATAAGAAAAGATAAGAAAAATAAGGAAGATAAGAAAAGTTAAGAAAAAGATAAAGAATAAAGATAAGAAAAAATAGGAAAAATGATAAGAAAACATAAGAAAACGATAAAGAAAAGAAAAGAAAAAAGAAATGGGAGGATAAGCAATAGATAAAAGATAAGAAAAATAGAAGGAAAAAATATAAAGATAAAATAAGAAAGACTTTAAGGAAAGAAAACGAAAAGTTAAGGAAAAGATAAGATAAGGAAAATAAAACAATAAGGAAAAAAGAAAAAGATTAATGAAAGATAAGGAAAAAGAAAAAAGATAAAAAATGTAAAAGAAAAGATAAAAAAATAAGAAAAAGATAAGACAAGGTAAAAAGAAATAAACGATAAAAGATAAGGAAAAATAAGAGAGAATATATACTAAGCCTCTCATTAAGTTTTTTTGAGCAACATAATTTTCTTCCAGAGATGCTTATACTACTGCAGCCATTTCTTTTTTCCTTTAATGCAGTGGTTCTCAACCTGTGGGTCGGGACCCCATTTGGGGTCAAACGACCATTTCATGGGGGTCGCCAAACAATGCAGTCCACCATTTTTTCCCCCTTTTCCTTAGCTGTGCTACTCCCTTTTATTCTATTGGCTTTTGAAAGCCAATAGAATAGACTCTCTTGAATAGAGTCTAATTCTATTGGCTTTCAAAAGTCAATAGGAATTGTCCAGGCTGTCTCTGCCCTGCTGAGCCTGCCAAAAGTCCCATTCTGTAAACGGTGCTGCACCAGTTGAGTAGTCCTCGACTTACGACCGGTTGAGTAGTCCTCGACTTACGACCAGTTGAGGGTCGCGGCATTAAAAAGGTTGAGAACCACTGCTCTAATGTTTACAGTCCTTGGATAAATGCCACTTTTTTCTGCAGGTGTGACAACTACAATTAGTGGGCTCCAAAATCCCAGAGAGCCAACACCACCCTACCTAGCCTCTAGTCAACAAATAGCGCTCAAAGGCTATTATTCACTATTACCATTGTTTCCCAATTCTACTACAACTCCTGTTCCTCCTCTACTTCTCTTTCTGAGCCCTGCTAATGGAGAACAGTAATTTTGCTGATTCAGGCAGTTTTAGTTTTCCAAATGAACACAAAATACCAACACCATCCACAACTGCTTCTCTACTCTGCTTTTAAAGGCATCAATTGCTGGGTTGGCTAGGAAAGATCTTAAGGGACCTAGGTGCTGACTCTTTTAAGGTTGCTTGTCCTCTCACAATTGAACACACTGAATTAGCTAATGCTGCCTTTATCTTTTTTTATAGGATTTATTGATATTCTACTTAAAATTTCATTTAATTATAATTTATGATTTCTTAGGGAATTCTTTTCCGCTGACTTTTATATTAATTGGTTAAAAGATGGCGTAGGAAGTATATTTAAAATCTATAGTATGATAATTAAAAAAGCAAGCTTTCAGACACATATATCTAACTGATTGCTTGATCCTGTAAATGTTGTTCATTCATGTATTTCATGTATATGAAAAAGACTTTCACACTAAGACTGTGGATTTTCCTGTTCAGAAAGTCATATTTTCTTTGCCTGGTTGTTGATATTTTCATGCTAAATTCACTTGCTTGCTTGTCTGAAATTTTACTATTGCTATCCTTTTTCTTTATGGTATTTCCAATTATTTTAAGCTTATCATCTTTTTTTAAAAAAAACACCAGTTTGACATTTTATTATTTTAACCATCTTGTTCTTTCTTGAGTGTTCTTTTTAAAATAAAGGTGGAACATCAATTTGAAATTATCAACATAAAAATGCATCCATCTGTGATTGCATTCAGTTCCCTTTTGTGTGAACACTTGGTGACAAACTTCGGTGTGATATGTGAATTGGCTGTAATGGATTTAATCTGATTTCTTATTTCTTTTCTAGGGAGAACATTAGAATAGAGACATTTCTCATCATCTCTGCATCACAATTACATTTCCTTGATTATTTAATCAAAGCCTGACATAGTCTTTCAGAACCCTGAATTGTTTGCATAAAATCAGTTTGAAAGATTGAATGGCCAAAAATATTTATTGAACATTCTTTTATCAAAGTGCAATTGAAAGCTTTATGTTCTGAATCATACAAAAGGAAATAAGGAATAAAATTGTATATTGTGCTACATAAATAATTCTTACTGAAATGTGCAAGATTTCAGGATCATAGAATAAACACTAATTTTATTACTTTGATCAGCTTATTGCATATACTGATCAAAACAAACTTACCATGCATCCATGGCTCCCCATCAATCTGCATATGCAGAGATTTGCTAGTCCTAATGCAAAAAAATATAGGAAAATAAATTAAAGAAATGTTTTAAATGCCGCATCTCACATGGAAAATAGTACAGTTTAATGTCAATCATAGCTGAAAAATAAGGAATATACACCTTTCTAAACATATAGTGTGCATATGTGTATTTCCCAATCCACAATAAATCCTTTATTCATTATTTTTTAAAACACCAAATAAAAGCACGATTGATTTAACAATTTTGGCTCAAGTTACTCTTAGTTAACTTTGCCATATGGTAAATTAGCAATTTGTTTCAACAGGTCTCCAACAGGCATGTTTCCAGGAGATATGTGAGCCAACATATTTGTCAAATCATTCACAGAATTAAAGAATCATAGAGTTGGAAAGAACTATTTAGGACACTAAATTCAACCCACTGCTCAATGCAGGAATCCAGATTAAAACATCCCTAAAAATTATATCAGAACTCATGTTAGAATACAACTAATAAAAACAGCTCACCACTTCCCATGCAAATTGATTCCACTATTGAATTGCTCTTGTGATTATGCTAATACTCCTAAAATTCTCCTGGAACTTGTCTCTCTATAACTTTAATTTCTTTCTAAAATAACTTTTACAAAGTAATGCAGTCAACAACAACAATAACAACAATAATACAATAATATGACTTCCTTCCATGAATCTTTTCAGGTACTTGGTCCATATCACCTTTCAATTCTTTTCTTTTCAGGCTAAAAATTCCCTAATCTCTCCCTGTAATTTTCAGTCTTCTAATCACTATCTTTGTCCTTTAATTAACTGCTTGAAATATATTTGTAGAGATGTGTAGAATGGGATACAATATACATGATGAGATCTGACCAAAGCAGAATATAATGGAATTATTATTTCTTGTGATTTGGACACCCTTGTTTTCTTGATTCATTCTAACATGTTGTTATCTTTTTAGCCTACTTTATTATGCTACTTATTCACATTCAGCTTGTGATTAAGAAGATCTTTTTCACATGTATTAGAATTAAGCTAGCTAGCTCACATCATATTTGTATGCATTAAATGTATATTATTAAATGAATCATTTTGTATTTGATTCTATTATATTTCATTTTATTAATTTCAGCCTATTTCCTCAGCTTACTGAAATATTTTTGAATTTTTAGTATTAGTATTAACTACCATAACCAGGCTTGTCTGTGCAAATAAAATCAATTCATTCATTTAATCCAATTATTGAAAAAATCTGGAAGAGAACAAAGCCAAGCACTGTCTCTTCTGGTACTCATCTTGATGCCATTCTCCAGCATTTTTGCTTTGGATCTTTAGAATGCTTTATGTACCATATTTAACTACGAAATCTTAAATGTTCAAACTTTATTGAAATCTAGGCATATCATGTCACAGCATACCAATAATCTATTTGAGAGTAAAGAAACTACCAAATTAGAAAATGTACTCTGAGATATAACAAATTATGTTGTGGCAATTAAAATGATTTTTCTTTTTCTTGTTATCTATTACTTTTTTGCCATCTTTAGAGCAGCTTATTTTCCCTTATTTTTATTGTGAACATATTGGAAGTTATGCTGTTTGTTTTTCTTTCCATTTCTGTTAATTTAATACCATTCAGATTTAAGTTTTCTGATACCAGCTAAACAGACTATGAATATTTGTATCATTTTTATTTGGTGATTTTTGCAACTTTTTATTTTTGTATTTTCACTAATGTTTTTGTGTAACCATATTGCTTCTTCTAATGTTCTCCATTTGTTTTTGTTTTATCCATAGGAACTTTTTAATCCTTTTTTTTAGACATTTCCACCATCTTGTATTTCTTTGCCCATTAGCTTTTTCTGCCTTGTATTTTATATATCTTTAGTTCTGACCTTACTACAAAAGGATTATTCAATTAATAAGTTGAATACAACATACTGATCTATCAAAACCAAACTATCATGTGAAGATAACTAACACATGCTGATTTTACTAACACAGAAAAGTTACATATCAAAAATTCAGTGGTCTTGTCATATTTTGTGTCATATTTTTGTAATATTTTGTGAATAGAGTGCCAGACAACTAATTTGACAAAAGCACATAAGCAAGACAGATTGCATCTGATCAAAGGTCTATCCCAGTATGGTGTTTTCCACTTTGTCCAACTTGAAGTGTTTTGAGATAATTCCACAGTTGCTTCCATTTAGTAGTTAAGGACATACTGTATTACTTCTGAATCAGCCATTGAGAGTATCTTCCATGATTTCCATAAAATCTCATTTAAAAACATCCAAACTATTAAGTATGATACTGAGTTCTAGAAATGTATTACTTATAGTTGGTAAAGCTGGGTTAAGCCTGTCCTGGCTTCTTGAATGATAAAGGCAAATAATTTTTTTTCATGGGAAAAGTTGGTTCTTACCTAATGAAAACAGAAGAATACTGAGAAAGGCGTCTTCCTGCACTTTTCAATCCAGTATATATTTGTCCCATTTCCATGGCTCCTTCCAGGCCAACCACTTCTACCAACTGATGTCTTAGGTCTGAAAACAAAATGCACAGTTCTACTGAAAACTGTGGAGAAAGCATGAATGCTAATGCAAACAGCACGCTTTTGCCTTATTCTCCTGCTCTTCTCAATAAAAATATATACAAATAAATTAGAAACTAATCAACAGTTCTTGCCAAAATATTACCATTTCTGGGTTACAGCATTTTTGAAGAATATATTGGAATGAGGAGAATTTGGTCTTGGAATGTTCTAGCATGCCATTGAAAGAACAGCCTCGGTAACAACTAAAGTAGAAGTAAAGCTGATTTCAACAAAGCTATTTTCTCGGGTCATAATTAAACAAAATACTACAATCTTTGCATTGCTACCTTTCCACAAATATAATCAGAGACCACAATAAGCAAAGCATGTGGTCAGATTACAAAAAAAGGTGAAAGCATTAAGATTTAGAAAGTCAGCTGAGCTGGAAGTAAAAGCAACTTTAATGTAAAGCCAGGAATAAGCATATTCCCTGGGTAACTGCCAATTGCATTGTCTTAACTCTGAACTATTGTTCTTTCAATTTCCTACTATGTCATGACTAAAACAGAGATTTAATATCCATTTATTAACCAAAATCTCAAATCAGAATCAAACCGTTACAGATATGGTTAATAGATGGATCTTAAATAATCATCTGTGTAAATGTAATGGGAATGTAATAAGAGTTGTGTTCTAAGCTAAATACATTATGTCAGGGGATGAGGATATATCACTTGCTGTTCATCCATTCATTGAAAAGACCTTAGTATATTTGAATTAATGAGGCACCCTGCATAAGAAGTGCCTATCCAAGAAACTGGAACATGCCATTGTAGTTAAATCCTATTCATACCTATTGAAAAGGAAGTCTCACTGAATTTATAGGTAAACTGCATGTCCAATTATATTTATTAAGGATTACATCCAATGGACTTCAGTTTCTTTAGAAAAATGGCTTTAACAAAATTTAAAAATTTTATTTTTAATTACTCAGGAATAAATTACACTGAGTTAAGCAAGACGTACTCTTCAAAGAGGAAACAGACAACAGACTCCCATTCCTCAACATCTACATAAGGAGACTAGACAACGGAGAACTAGAAACCCGCATCTACCACAAACTTATATACTTGGACCAAATCCTCAGCTTTGTAAGTAATCACCCAACCAATTCTATGTGGGAAAAATATCACATCAATTAAAAAACAGGATACATGAATACTGGCTGACAGTCAAATGCCACGATCCCAAATCCTTAATCTCTATCCACACTGACACTAAACAGCACCAGTTTGATTGGAGCAACAAAAAAATTATTGGCCACGCTACCCACCACACTCATGAGTTCATCGAAGCCTGGCACTCCACAAACAATTTCATCAATAGGCAGATCAACCTACAACCAGCCTATGAACACCTCAGAATCCAAATCAACCACACAGCTAACCAGAGACAGCACCAACCCTCAACCATCCCACAGAAGCCCCCCAATCAGCATTTCACCTCCCAATGACCCCCACCTGATGTAACCTCCCCATCTCAAGACCCTCAGAAGACTTCTACTGATGACTCACACCTGACCCATTACAAGACCCTTACTTGACAAACCCACACCTGACCCATCACAAGACCTACTGACCACAAGAAGCCCTTATACACAGAAATACACTGACACTGACATTCCTTAAACTCCTCTGAAGATGTTACCTAGCCCAGTAATGAAAAGTTCATAAATCAACCCACAAGTTTGGAGAACAAACCTTCACTCTCAACTTACTCTTATGTAAGCTGGTAAAAAAGTGAAGCATTAGACTGAAAGCTTATATATAGAAGGCCAGAAATAAATACAACGAATTTAGTAAAATTTATTTCTGAAAAACTGTTTTGGCGTGATTTATTAAAATACAGACTAACCAATCACATATTAAAATGACATGTCAATTTAGGCTGTGTGATTAAACTGATGCATAAACGCAGATATATGACCACCAAATCTTAAAAAGTAGTAACTTAAAACACACACACACACACACACACACACACATACAGAGAGACAGACTTTTTTGTAACTCTACTTTTGCTTAAACCTGTTGCCAAGAACAGATGGATAAGGAACAAAAACATTTTATTTCATGTTCATAATTATTTTTTACTTAAAATTCATGTTTCATACAATGGTTGTTAATACAAATTTTCTTAGAAAATATTCTCCAAACTATTTAAAAAAATAACTAAATACTTGTTACCCATCTATAGTCAGCTTTATGGTTTAGTATAGAAAAATCTTGTATGAGAAGTGGAAATCCCAATATACTTTTTAAAATAAACAAAAAAAAACCTTATTTCACAGATTAAATCTCTGCAGGTAACTACAAGTTGAAGGCATCTGGATCTAATATACTAGCCCTCATTGAGGCAGCATTCTTCCTGGGAATATGTTTTTGATTCCCATCGCCAATATTATCTAGTTGGGTAATGAAACATTTGCAAGCAAACAACCATGCTGAGAGAGCACCAAGGACTCCACTGTTCTACTATTCCAGATAGTTCAAGGTATGGTCATATGGAGGATATTTCTGGAATCCTTTCTCTCTGAAGATAGAATGGCATTCTCCCTGCTTTCATTCAGGAAATGTTTCAAGACCATTCTCTTCCAGTGGGTCTTTAGAGAATACATTGGTAATTAATGCTGCCTATCCATACTATCTCTTATGGTTATGTAATTCTGTGGATTTATTATATAATTTTATGTTATTATTTCCCTACAGCTGTTTCAGTTGCACATAAGTGATAAAACATTCAAATAACATGACACATTATATATGAAAATACAGAAACATTATATCAGTACTATACTAATAGTACTGATGATCATCATGCTAAGCAATTGCACTCAGTAACAATCACTCATTTACTGTAGGGATGGGAACTCACCATTCTATCATAGTTGCTTGCTTAGTTAAGCTGTAGAATATTGGTCACATTTTTTTCTTTTTCTCAATAAATGACTGAAACAGCTATTGCTTGAGCATCTGTGTATAGAGGTTCTCATTGCAGAGGGAAGGATCAGATATGTTTTCATTTAAGAAGAAATTGTTTAGCCTCATTGCAATAAGCATTCATCCCATAAATATATTATCAAATATTCTGACAATTCCTTATCCTAATGAATTACAATGATATGTTGCTGCCCTTATCAGACATCTCTTAAAAATCATTACAGTAGAGATATTTTGTAGCCCAGACTCTATCCAGTAATGAAAATTGGGCTTGTGCACCTCTACTTTGTGACTATCCACAGACCATTTTCCTAATGTAACTGGCTTCACTGACATTATTTTATTGTTACAACACTTCTCCCCAAGTTCCTTCTAAAGTTCAAATGAAATATATGACTATCAGATAATTTTGTCCTTTTTAAAAATAACCCCTGCCCCCACAGCTCTTAACTTACAGTGGTTGGTTTAGTATCTAAATTTCAACCGTCAGATCAATCTTTTCTTTAGCAATCTAAAGCTATCTTCAAATGTTCTTCTTAAATTTATTGTTGACATTTTTGACCACTTTTATATCCATTCTCTGCTTCTGATAAATGGGCTTCATAAAAGAAATGTGAGAAATAAATGGCATAAATAAATAGCTAGCAGAACCTTGCATATAAAATATTAAACTAAATCTGATTAATGCAGAATAAATTGAAATGACCAAAAAGGAAACAATTTCTTAGAACTGCCCTGACCACTTTACCAGATATTAAGACTCATTTCCTTCCTTCCTTCCTTCCTTCCTTCCTTCCTTCCTTCCTTCCTTCCTTCCTTCCTTCCTTCCTTCCTTCCTCCCATCCATCAATCCATATTTGTTGTTCAAATAACATCATTGATAAAGTGTGATAACAATGATTCAGTCCAGACATTTTTATACCCACCCCCCCATTATGATTTTCTATGTCCTCAGATTCTTGACAGTCTGTTGGTTCTACATTGAAGCTTGTCCATGATATGAAAACTTTCCCTTGTTTTCTGTGTGAATGACCTATCAGGGACCATGTGGGAATGTTTACATAGCACCATGCTGCTGTGCCCTCTTCCACAAGCCAAAGTACTTCACACATCTCTTCAGATTAGTGTTATGGATAAACAAAGTTGCTCACATAGTGATTGCTGATGTCAGCCACTTGCAAATAGCATGTAAAGAGGCACCTGACCCTTTGCCCTTATTTTAAAATGTATCTACAGCTGGGTGGAGATAAGAATAAAGTCACCACAATATTTTTTCTTTCATTTCTCCTGCTCAAGCTGTCTGAGCAATTAAAAAGACAAAGTGAAATCTACATAACCCTTTGTTTCTCTTTGCAGTGCTCCGTTCTTATTGTATGCTCAGGATGGTGATAAAATATTTAAGAAACCCAAGAACTTTTTAGAAGTCTACATTGAAAAGCATTATTGGACCATTGCACCATTGAACAGAATACTACATTTAAACATTTTTTCTGTGAATATAAATCAAAGAAAATAAACAAGGGCAGGGGTGAAAAGGAACCTAGTAGTACTATGATTAGAAATAGTGATTTACACATGGAGGATTGTTCTTCTATAATGGAGCTGTTTTGTAAATACTCAATTCATCTTAGCCATATATAAGTATTGCAGACCTGGCAAGAGATTGAAAGTCTCTATTAGAATTTAGGGTTATTGCACTTAGTCAAGTACATTTACATAAAAAATATCATTGGTTGGCAGTAAATCTCTCCCTCTTGGCAGTTTGTCTTTGGAGTGATGAGGATACATGACTCCTAAATGTAATTAAAACTTAGTAATCATTACTCTGGGGAAAGTTTGAATTTCAGTTACAAAATATAGAACAGGGAATTTAAGATCTGGCTTACAGAGAATCCTTGGAAATATGTTGGGATGAGGGATCTGCAATATGTCCTAATCACTGAAGTCTGTTTGGAATGTTTTATTTATTTATTTTAGATCACCACCATCAGTTTAGTAACACAATTTTGCA